GGGCGGTGGATATTTGTGGCGGTCAATGTGGATATTGTGGATGAGTTCTTCTGTGTCATCACGTTCTATTAGTTCTACAGCTTCAGTTTCAGAACTTTCACGCTTCGTAACACATACAGCTGTTCCCTCACCACAGTGCAACAGTGAAAAGGGACGCCTTTCAAACAGTGTCGCGTTCCGAACGCTGTTTAAGTGACATACACCGGTATTGCGGTATTTTAAAAATTCATATAACAAAAATAAACACCGGTATTCGGTATGAACCGCTATACCGCCCAGCACTATCCTACAGCATCCCTCCTGAAGCGCACAGTGGTCAGAATAGAATCGATTTTCTTCAGCCGTTCGACAGTATTACCTACAGATCCCTTTTACTGGTTAAAATTGGTTTTAGTGTAATTGGTTAATTACTGAAAGAAACTTATCTGCTCTAATTTAGATTCAGAGTTTTGCTGACCATAAGAATGAAAGGACAGGATCTGGAACTAATTTGTTGGCCCAATCTTTAAGAAAAAAAAATTAGTTGACTGCAATATTCGCAATATTCACTTTATATTGCTCACATGTGCTGAACACCAGGTTATGCTTATGCAGCATATTTCCCACCCATAAGGAAATGTAATATATGATATTTATTGTCCTATGTCAAGAGTGATATTACTATATACTGGTAAGGCTATATATATTTTATATGATATTATATTTGGATTTAGATTTATCGGCCAACATATCGGTTATCGGCTTTCATATATAAAGAATTATCGGTATCGGCCAAAATTTTGTTTTTGTAATAATTTTTTTAATAAGTGTCTATCTTTTATATTTACTTATGCAATTTCAACATAATGAAATAATAATGATAGGTTTTAGGATGAACAGAAATGTGTCCAAATATGTATTACACATGCATAAACATACATCATTTTTTTTGGCTAGATATATATTCATATATGAAATTCTTAAATTTTTTAATAGGTTTCATGTATATATTTCATATCTGGAAATTGTATATATTGACATGTATTAGATCTGCGTATGGGCCAGATCCTGGTTACTTTACCAGCGAGCGCAGTGAGAGGACAGGCATAGTGGACATTGCTCAGTGAGGTGTAAAGTTTTATGGTGGTTTTGAGACTTGATGAAGTGCTAAACAAACGGAGTGTGTTTCATAGTCTCTCAGTGTTTATTTCTGTTCTAGACTGCTAGACTAAATATTGAGTGCTGACTGCCATGTCAGCCATCACAGCTGATCTAAACAGACCTGTGACACTGATGAACGCTCATCAGCGTGTGTGTGTGTGTGTGTGTGTGTGTGTGAGACGTCCTCTGTACCTCGAACCTGTACAGATAAGACGAGCTGACACACTAGAGCTGATCCAAACCCTCACTAGAGAACATTTTCACGCCCTTATAAGCGAGTACTATGGTGGTATAGTGACGGAATCTGCTTCTGATACACACCAGGATCCTGAACGATTACCACATTCATGTATAATTTACAGTGTTCTTCAAGAAATACTGTTTTTCCATCGTGTACATGTCCAAAAACAATATATATATTATATAATGTATCTAATATAATCAATCAATCAATCAGTAGGCAGACGAAGAGACAGATAGAGAGAACAATGCAGTGTAATAATCTCCTCATCAGGGTTTACCAGGACCTTTTTTCAGATTTTTGGGGCCAAAAATGACTGAATTTGGTGCAGCTTTTCTCAAAAATTCTCAAAAATTCTGTTTTGATATTTGCAGTAATTATTAGGCATTTATTTAGTGATGCACCAGACTTTCGGCGGCTGAAATTGTTTGGTTAAAACAGGAAAAATAATACTAGTAATTTTCAGATTCAGCAAATCATTGAACGAAACAGTGACGTTTAATTAGCGGGGGTTTTTTTTAATGACAGACAAGCGGAGTACAGATGTTTCTAAAGCATGCAGCGCCATCTGCTGTTCAAAACTAAGCTCAGGATCCACTCGAGAAAGAATCGCCATGCATTCGGAAAATCTCAGAATCTATGCTGAATCATTTCTCGAATCGCGATGCATCGGTTTATTTTCCCAGCCTTAATTAAATAGTGAGATCCTCAAATTATTATTATTTTTTTAATTTAAAGCATTTTCATTGTGTTTGTGTCGGGAACAGATCTGAATGTGGAGGCTGAAACGCAGCTGTCCTGTGAATGTTTGTCAGACATTTATATTGTGATCATGTGACTCAAACTTTGCCCAATGTGGACTTTCTGGACATTAACTTACATTAGTCCACTGATGCTTGTCCGGTTCAGCTCTAGCGTACTGTCAAGGGCTGGTGGGAAATGGGGAATATGCTCTAGTATGTTCTGGCAGAACATACTAGAGCATATAAACGCAGACGTTATAAATCAGTGTGTGTTTTAGAGTCTGACCTCTCACTTCACACTGCAGAGGCTTGAAGTGCAGCTGTGCAGATTCTCCAGCGCTTCACTGCTCTGATCTACATTTGCTCTGAAAACGACACCCATCATCCCATCACGCGAGGTGTGTGTGTGTGTGTGTGTGTGTGTGTGTGTGTGTG